ACGTAACCAAACCAGGAGTGTCACCAGAAAGTATATGATTAATTGTCGTATAAGTGGTCTGGACTGGGATGGCCAGCCCTCGGGAGCATGGGACTGCTTACCACCCTCCAAGTTACACCACAGAAACTCTGTTCCTCTGAAGATGAAATCTGATTAACAAGTCCTTGAGAAAAGAAACCAAGACATAGATTGTAGCAGTGCTATCAAGTTTAATAGCATGAGCACCCTAGGATGGGCTGTAAGGGCTTCGAGTTCAGAGAAGGGAAAAAAATAACGAGGGGCCTTCTTTGTCTGGAAGGTCTTTGAGTCAGGAGCTGAGCCAGGCACATGAAATTTAAGCACAGAGAAAAATCAAGAATTAAACTGATCTGGAGAACCTTGGAAACTCTTCACCAGTAGGGAGCCTGCTTTAATCCTTCCTTGTGGAGCAGAGTGGCTTTTTCATTGTGTCCAAGTCAATTTCTTTTTACATGTGGCCTCAAAAAAGTAATATATTATTACTGATTATATTGTACTGGGTGTGGTATTTAAAGAAAAAAACAACAAATTGTTCTCTGAGAGAGATCACGAGATGAGCTAGTTTCTTACAGGCAATAGGAGGAGAGAATTTTTTAAAAGGCTACTGTGCATGCCATTTCAATCCTTGGGTAATGACTGCCTGTCATAAATAGGATGGCATTTCAGAATGTCCTTAAAGCTATTTCCTTTTGTTCACCTAATTTAATTTACCACATACATGCTCCTAGAAAAGGGGGTTCCGAGTTGCTGACTCCGCATTTCCTGAAAAAATCAACACTTCTCCTTTAAACATGTCTCAAAGAAATTCCAGCTGGTAGTCTGCGGCTGGCTCCCCCAAATTCTACCTCTGTCAAAATTCTGCCATGGCAGGTGTGAGAAAGAATAGATGACGAACTTCGGTGAATACCACATCTGTTTTTTGAAAAGGGGAACAGAAGCAGCACAGAAGGAAGTAAAAGAGATAATTGCTGGCTTGAACTCCAATACATTTTACTTGTGGGCAAGGGGCCAGCTTACACCAGGCAGAATATGCAGGCCTATCTTATTGGAATTCAGGGGTGGGCCTCCATTCTTGTCCGGAGACAGCTGTAAACCAGCCGCCCGTAGCATCGCAATCAGGCACTGAGTTTTGTCAAGGAATGCTGATATGTACAGAAGCAGCTTTGCCTGCTTCAACTGCACCCCTGCCTAGCAAAATGACAGTCAATCTCTGATTCCAGATGACAAGAACTGGATAAAAACTTAAAACAAATGGTGACCTTTCAAAAGATTAATTTGTTTACCAACAAAAATGTTCCCTCTTTGTCATCTGAGATGGGGGTGACCTTCACATTCCCATATCTGGGCTGAAAGGATGCTGACTATAGTCATCTGTTAACTCCGTTCTCAGCAATTATTCCCTTTTTTATTTTTAGTGACAAGAAGGCTTTATTAATTCACTGTTCTTCTTGTTATGGTTTATAAATGCAACAAGCTCATTCTGAATTACTGCAGTGTAACATCAATTTGTTTAAATCTAATTCTGCTACCGTTGCCAAATTATGTTGTGACTGTAATTGTGGCCATATGCATGGGCTTAAAACACAATCATGTTTTGAAACGCCCCCATTCCTCCCCCACCCCCTCTCCTCACTGCCCCCACTCTCTTACTTCTGGTGCCTCTTCTAATCATTTGAAATTAACACAATTGCCTGCTTTATGTGACTTGATCATTTCGAAAATGAATGTGCTGTCCCTGATGGAGTGAGAGATTAGTAGACACCCCCCAAAGTGAACCAGTAAAGAATGAAGCCATGATTTGTGGGGTGTAGTTGCCACCCAACTAAGTTAGTGAAAAACACAGCACAACATATGACTCATAAAAACTAGAAATCATAATAGTATTAAATTCAACCTCATGAATAAGTAAAAGATTCTAAGTTTACATTGCATTATATATTTATTTATTTGGAAAGTGGGACCAAAGGACTGGCATAATTCTACAGCAACTCATATCTTGCCAAAAAGAAAAATGCTTTTATGATTCTTTTCTAGGTCATAACAGTTATAATCAGAGTTATTTGTGCTGCAATTCAAAACAATGTTTTGTTTCTGCTGTTTTGCTATGCATTCATAATCTTTCTTTTAAAATTCATGTCAACAGATACATGTTACAAGTCTTTTAAGGAACCTTTCTACTTCTGGTGATAAATCGAAGTCAAATTTTCTGCAGAGCTTTATAACCCATCTTATATAACATCTAACTGGAGCTACACTTTGGTGGGAAAAAATGAAAAGTATCAGTTTTCCTTGTCCTCATACCAGCTAGGATACTTCATCCAACACCTAGGCAAAATCACATGTCTTGGAGTGGTTGTTACTTATTTATTTAAAATGATAAGATTGGCTTGAGATCCTGCACAATCCCACTTGGTCTGAGACAACATTACTTTTCACTTTGCCATTTGTCTACTAATTATATATTTGTGTGAGTTCACAGATTACAAATTCTGAAGGCAACTGTTTGAATATGGGTGTCATTCATTATCTCTTCATTTGCACAAAAATAACTGATAATATTAAAAGTCACATCAGATTATCCTCCACAGGAACTCAATAAGTTCCCAAATGTATTTTGGGGTACTAGATAGAACTGTGCACAAACTAGGTGTTTACTAATTTTCTCTGTCAGAAATATCCAAGAAAAGATTAAGCTTTGTCAGCCCTGTGAGTTTCACCTGGAGTGGCTGAGCACATAGCCTTCTACAGCCAGATGAGATTTCACCTCTGAACATTTTAGAGTGATTCTAAAAAGCCATTAGCTATGATGCTGTTTTTTTTCCTAATTAACTATGTATCACAGTGCTAGACAAATTGCCTCTTAGTTTGGGCAACTGCTTTCAAAAAGCATTTTTATACATGGTAACTCACAACTGTATCATTCACAGATGCCGTTTATGTTGTTTAAAACCAAATAACTGAAAATTTCTCTTTCAGCACAGAGCTTTCTGTACAATTCATCTGTTAATTGAAACACAACATGGAAACTATCTTTTTTTTTTAAAAATTAATACTACTGAATGACTGAGTCAATATAAAACCATAGAATCAACCATTTGGAATGAAATTATTCCTCAGCTTACTAATAAACTGGTTAATTCAGTCAAATAATCCAGTGGGCAGTCATGTACACATAATCTGAAGGTACTCTCAGGTGAATTTCATGGGTCAGAGTCTATGGAAAATGAGAAGAACCTTATATTATAGCAAATGGGTGCTTGATACCTCCAGGTCAGCGTGTTTACGTATTCTGTTAGTTATTATACATCAGCAGTAGTGCCAACTCTCCAGAGTTATTTGTAACTGAAACTTTTAAACATTCTCCAAATACTACATGTGTAATATCTGAGGTATCTATTTACTTTGGAAACTGTAATGAAGAACGTATCTGACTAAGACTCTGGCTTACAATTCTGGATGCAAAATCATTTCCCAAACTCCCCTACTGCCTCGTCATCTAGAATCATAAAACCAAAGCAAAATGTTTTTAGGGGCACTGGTCTTAAAATTTCATTACTCAACTGGATGAAGTTTGAATGTGATATTGTGGCTGTCTTGGGTCAGTAGCAAATTCTTTGCACCCAGCTAATGAAGTTGTACTAACAACAAAGGCAGGTGGACAGATGGGCACAAGGACATAGTAGGAGAGGAGATGAGGGGAAAAGAAGGGAGAGAGAGAGAGAAGACAGTGGGGAGGAGAAATAATAGTTTATAATGGTTTTAGGTTCAGGAGCAGCAGATAAGACATTCACATTTAACTGAGTGATATTTCCATAAACTTATAAATTCTCTGTCTAGTTTGACTTATAAAGGTTAGATTTCTGTGACTGGCTGAGCAGAAAAAAATGCATTTATTCAAAATGCCAGTTTAAAATAATTCACGATAGATTTTAAAGTTACATGACAGAAAAGATTTAAAAGCCCCCAAATTGCAAATTCACAAGAATAATCTAAGAGGTGGTTTTGCTGGTAGGAGATTTTCTGGTTGTACAGTGTTAAAAAAAAATATTACCACTTTCTAGTTAGAAGAAAAAAAAGGAATCAGAGTTATTTCATTAATATATACAGCTGAGTACTTGATAGAAATTGGAGAAAATTTAGAGATATTACATATGGCTCAATCATTTCTTTTTATAACCATGCCAATTGGCTTATTTAGAAAGGTTGTGGAAATTAAGTCATTTAATGGTTATTCCAGATCCCAATAATAATAGGACATTTTCTGTATGACTCTGTGTGCATCAACTTCATTGGCATCTCTTTATTTTTGTCCCCAAAAGTACGGTAATAGGTGAAGAAACAACTCAGAGGGCAAATCATTTCTAAGTAATATATCATCACTGGCAAAGCCTGGAAAGAATCTAAGATCCTTGAATGCTTCTCTCTAAATAAATTCTTTTGCTTATATTCCTGTTCTAATATGGTAGATGTTAAATTAATAACACCTAGTTAAAACATAAAAGATTAGTTCTTCACATCTACCTGTAATAAGATTTTAGAATTTGTGCATAACATAAATGTTTACACTATTATATCTCATTTTATGCAATTATTTTTACTTTATTTTTCTAGACTCAAACCCATCACTGAAATAACATAATACTTAAGATTTTCTATTACTTCTCATAGTTGTTAAATTGTATCTTCCTCCTTCTGGTATTATAGTATCCATCTAAAAATAACTGTTATTTAGAAATGCCAGTAAACAAAATATATAAAACTAAATTATCTGCAAATAAAATTTTCAATTTTAAATTTTTGCTCAACCAATTTTAACAAACAAAATAAAACTATCTCAGTAATTATGGGGATGAGGAATTAAAAAAAAAGGACCAAAACCTTATTTGAAAAGAAGGCATATTACTTTTTCCATTACCAGTAATTTACTTTTTTAATTTTAAAAGAAAAATAATAGGAGGTCATTAAAACAACTCATTACTTACACGTCCTGGTTTTCTCTTATTAATAAATGGCAAACTGATTCCATAGGTCTGATTTACAGCAGCTCTGTGGTAGGCATGTTCAGGATCATGCATGATTTTAAAATGCAGCCCCATCTTTAGCTGAAACAAAGAAACAATGAAACTTTCATGTCATAATTCCATTTTCAAATTATATTTTCTGCAAGAATTATGATGCTCACCAATACTAAGCATCCTCAAAGTAATGTAAAGTCCTTTTAAAATAGTCATTTTTAATGTTATCCTTAAAGGAAATAGGGTTTTAGCTTGATCCTTTATTTAAGCTCCTTATTAGTACGCTTTCTTTACTCACAGAAAAGAAATCCCATTTTTCCAAACCTTCCTTTATGTTTCTTTCTGTATATACATAAGGCTCTCACACATCATTTTTATTATCAAGAATAATGTGAGAAACCATTGAGCAGGAGGAGGGGACAAGAAATCCCAGTCTGGATTTATTTTAAGCTTTCCAGGTCAAGGAGTTTGCCATTGAAGCCTATACTACAGATAGACAGGTAGAGGGCTCTCTTGGTCTGTTAATGCAGTCACTTTCCTCTTGGGACAATTATAGGTAAAACCTAGTTTGGACTTAGAAAATTCATTCTAATGGATTCTGCTGTCCTTTTAGAATCTCTGACTGAAGTCAAATGACCAAAGATACTCATAATAGATACTTTTGTTTTTGAAGGAGAAATTCTTCTCTGTCATTCAAAACTATTCAAGATGGTAACTTTTAGAAAGCATGAAAATAAAGGAAAGCTTTGTTGCATAGTAGTAAAAGCTCTGTACTGAGGGATAAGATACTTGGATTTTAATTCAAGCTTTGCCACTGGACAAGTATGCAACAGTGAGCAAGCCACACCCCCTCTCAGGATCACATCTGTAAAATGTGGTCATTGGACTGGGTGGTTTCTAAGGTCCTTTCCAGCTCTGAAGTTCCAGATTCTAGGTTAAATTGAACAGAACGCCTGACATCTGAGTTGCTACTACTGTCTTCAGAAGACATAGTATCGGTTTTAACCACCAAATCAACTATTCAAAATTTTGAAACCTGGATAGGGATGGGAGATGACGGGGAAAGAAATCCTAACAACTGATGATTGCTTTTGGCTATGTGGTTGATCTGAGTTGATTATTGAAGGGGACTAAAAAAAAAAAGGCAACTCCCAGATAATTTCATGATCCAGTTACTTCTATGAGAAATAAATGACCTACATCTACAGGCAAAGTAAAGGGAAAGGGTGGTCAATTATCTGAAGAACTCATGCTGTATAGACAAGCAATCTAAACATTGGCTTCCAACCCTCTTCCTCTTTGTCTTTTTTTTTTCAATAGTAATTTGTTTTTGTCAGATTTCCAGATAATTGTCTCAAGTTTCCATTTTACTCTGCTTTTGTAGCAACCTAGGATCGAAGATGAACAACATCCCGTTTCCTTTGCTTGAGGCACATACACCAATTGGCACATACACCAGTGCCACACAATTCTAATGCCTTTGCTTCTTTGTGTTAAGCCAGACACATAGCATTATGTCATGGTATTTTCACGGAAGTTGAGTGCCTTTTTATTGAAATTAATAAGTCAGCATAATTTTTTCCTTCTTAATTACACTTTTAAAATAATTTCCACACTATCAAGGATTGGGAAATTGCTAATATATATTATATTGACTGGATGTGGTTACTGTAATTAGGATGCTCTTAAAATGTGGGTTCTGGATACAATTGATGGTAATGGCTTCATCTATCATGTCTAAGCTTTGTTAGAAACTTTTTAATTCCAGGATCATTGGCTCAATGGGCTGTGTCAGTTTCCTTAGCTTTGCCATGCTCCATCGGCTTAGTGTGGCTACAGAAACTGTCATAGCAAGGAAATGATCAAATACATAATCATTATCAAAACTGGAATTAAACACAGTTGTTTTCTGCCCCCATTTTACAGCTGCACAGCATTGGCCACTGCTGTTCTTCAAATGAAAATCAATGTACAACAAGAAAACTAAACAGAAATGAAATGCTATAATGCCAGGTAGTTTACTGTGAGTTTTTAAGGCAATCCTTTTGAAAATTAATACCCAAACATTCACTCTCTTTTGGCACCAAAACTTATATGCAGGAAAAGAATGCCTTATTCTTTTGACACTTCATTTTAATTGCTCTGAAGGAAAATATCAAATTAAAAGTTAAAGAGAATCTTAAATTTTTTTTAAAAAAAGATGAATGTAGCAGACAATTTGATTGAAATTCACTAAAAAAGGATTTGAACCCTAAATTTCCTCCTCACATACGAGAAATACTATAAGCTTACACTGAATTAGTAGGCTCCAAAATAAGCCTTTGTGATAACAGCAATTATAGATAAAAAGAAACCATTAATTGTTCCATTAAGTAAAGACATACTTTGGAAAAGTATCTTTAAAAAAAATAAACAGTAAGATAAATCCTAGGAATCATTTTGGGGGAGGAGTGTAGAAGTCTCAGATTGATCAACAAAAAATGGCCATTTATTCCATCTATTGTAAGTCACTAAACAATCTAAACTTTATATTCTCTCCTTTTGATAGTAATTACAAGCAGATATATCAAATGTGACTCTCATTTAGACTTTGGTTTCTAAGAACAAAAGTTATTATCAAAGCCAATTACTGTTTTACCTACATGGCTGCACAGAAGCGGAGAGTTCAATTTTCATCTCATCAGTGATTTTGTGGTATTTATTTTATTACTATACCACGCAGCTATATAAGAAACGAATAGCATATGCTATTAAACAAGGGTTTCAGTATAAGATGCTAAGGTTTCTTTGAGAAGAAATTCTGAATTAAAAACACTAGGCAGCTTCTAATGCCAACTCCCCAGACATAAGCAGGCTATAAAATGATACATATCTGAGCATCAGATTCCACATAGAGTAATCAAAATGGAAAAGCTTCACAAAGTTGAGAAAGGCCACTTACCAACTTACAGCAGAATCAGCACAATGCTGCTCTCAACAGCATTTGTTTCAAGTAAAGCTTTTTGAGTGGATATTGCTTAATGCGGTATTATCATGGGTTAATGTTATTTGCTGTTTAATTTTATAATCTGGGGGAAAAGAGCAATCTAAACATATTCACTCAGAGTAAAATATCCCCAGCTACTTGATTACACCTAAAATGTGGTATAGTCACAAGAACTTGGGATTTGGAGTCACAAGACCTGAGTTCAAGTCTCAGCTAAGTTATTCCCTTACCTATATGATGCTGGGAAAAATAGAGTTTACAGAGCTAATAAGTTGGGCTGGGGCTTATTAGCTCTGTGACCTTGTCCAAGTCCCATTTGCAGAGAATCAGAGTGAGATGGGACCTCAGAGATCATCTAATCCAACTCATCTAGTCACTTTGCCTCTCTGACCCTCAATTTTCTCTTCTGTAAAATGGAATTGACTCTCTCTCTCTCTCCACTTATATGTATATATATATAATATATGTGTGTATACATGTATGTGGAGATACATATGTATATATATGTGTGTGTGTATATATACACACACACACATACACATACATACATGCATACATACTGAGGATATTTCTGAGTATGAGAAGGGAACAAGCAGACATGAATGAATGATTTTCTACCACAGATCACAGCTTCACAGGCACACAATTGACTGGAAGGTGTAGAGAATTCAAGATGCCCCTGGAATAAGTAAGGTGCTTACATATTCTAGAGCCCAGTTGGGTCTACCAATGCTAACTGGCTTCTTCACCCTCAAAATTCTCTGAGGGCAATTGCTGCCTTTTTTTTTCCTTTTTAGTCTAGGCAATGGGGTTAAGTGACTTGTTCAGGATCACACAGCTAGTAAGTGTTATGTGTCTGAGGTAGAATTTGAACTCAGGTCTTTCTGACTCCAGGGCCAGTGCTCTATCCACTGTACCACCTAGCTGACCCAATTGCTGCTTTCTTGAAAGATGTAAACCAAAACCTAACAGCTTATATCAATCAGCTACAGCTGTCCAACCTTTTTCTCAATGATGTCCTACGACCGTCATGTCCAAAGAAATGCTACCCATTCTCTCCCTACACCCCTGAAGTTCATTTCAATAGAAAGTGTGCCAAGAGAATTGTATTTTTTTATTTTTTAAGGTGAATATTTATTGCATTTTCAAACATAAAGGACATTATATTTGTTCATCAAACAACAAAAAACTAAAACAAATCGTTTTCCTTTAAAAATTAACAACTTAATTTTACTCTAAAATGAGATATAAAATATCAAAATATTTTTGAGACATTAAGATGTGCCTAGGAACACCCAGAACATTCTGTATATGTAGCTATCATCCTATCCCAGATATATTAATTCTCTTCAGGATCAAATTTCTCTAGTCTGTCAACTCAGTTAAAAAGTGCCTGGCCACAATTATTCTGTTAGACGTTGTAGCAATGTTGCCCACCAAAGGCCAGGTGGATCACTCCCACATTTGAGTGGTGGGGTGCTGCCCATTGCTAGCTGAAGGCTTGGGGCCGGGGACACACCTTAGGCAGGCATTTTGATACTGGCTACGTTGGACAACTGTGTGACTCTTTTTGCACCAACATCCACTGTCCAACTCCATTGATTTGTGAGTATGGGCTTCTTCTGAATAAAAATAAGTTAATTATTAAAGTGTTCTGGAACTTGACTGTGCAGGTGACTTGTCTCAGCACCAAGTAGGGAGTTGATTCTCCCCAAAATACAAGGCTATATGTATCAATCGATTTGTTGATTATACAAAAGCTTTTTAACTTGATAGAGCAAATTATAGCCTTAAAGGAATCTCTCATGAAGGTGTTAAGATCATGTAAGATTAATGTGAATACAACGGTAACTCTTTTCCATGACCCTCTGCTTATTGACATCAATCAAGGCATAAAACAAAAATGTGTGTGAAGGGAAGGCATCTACCACTATCATGGAGGTGAACATATCATGTGAACAGTTCAAATAGAAGAGGGATTCTTTACAGATGGTGAGACATTGCTATTCCTAGATGATATTATGCTAATTGCAATGAAGCCCAGAATATTCTAGGGACTGTTTTAAGAATTCATACAGAAAAAACTAAATGGAAAGAAATG